AGATAAGCAAACGTACTGCCAAACAATTTTCAACTCCTTCCACAGAAATCTACTTTCCCTCTAGAAACCTACAGATCTCCAAGACAATAGATTTCGTAACTATGCCATATGTTATTACTAGGACCTCAGTAATTTCTATTTAAATCTTCATAAACTAATGATAATTTGTCAATCTAAAACCAAGAAAATCCTCAACTTACCTGCAGCACTGCCAGAAAGAACATGACTTAAAACACACACAAAAGCCCTTCACAGGCTAAGAACAGATGAAGACCCAACACCTACTCACAGTCCTTCAGTCATAGCAGGATTCAGGACAGGTAAAGTAGGTAGCTGGAGTGCTACTACTCATAAGAAGAATCTAAAGCAGTAGATGCAGGACAGAAAGCAATCTTGGCTTACTCATGGGTTCACAAATGGATAACAGAAGTTTTTGTCCTGGCTAAATTGTGAAGACAGGCAACATATTCAACAGGCTTTATTGCCACCTCTTGGCCATCGCCAAATCTCACAAAAAATAACAACAAAATAATCTGTCAGCTCCTTTACAGAAATAATCTTTCTCTGGGGGAAAAGAGATAGCAAGGGAACAGATGAAGTAGAAACAGAACAAGGAGAATACTTGTTTGCAGACAAGTATAACTATTTAGGGCTGTAAAACTACAGTGAGTACTGCAGTTGACTTTCATTGAAGTTTTATGGTGTCATCTGGAGAATCAAAGGGACTGGAAAGCAAAGAACCAGTTATTTTCAATAACTGGATTTTTTTTATTTGCTTAAAAAAGGTAAAACGAGTGTCAAGACACCAGTTTCTTCTTGAAGTCAAAAGATTAATAGATTAGCATTACCCACACATGAAAGACAGTAACACTCATGAAAGGCCTGTTTTCCCTTCATTATTAAACTAGTAGTAAGAACCCAGATTAGTAGTTTGCCAAAGAGTACGGAGCATCACAGAAAGTTGGTTTCTCTCAGTTAGTTGCTTGTTGCAGACAATATTGAAGGAAACAAACAAGAGGAAGACACTTCCACGAATCAGCTAAGAAAGTTATCTGGCCAACAGAGCTAGAGAGGTTTGATAACCAGATACCTATTAAGCAGGAGTAATGCAAAAGGCTTGGAAAGAGAAGGAAAACCATAGGCAATGTCTTTAAGCTCATTTCTGCCATCATCAAACAACAGAACTTTTAAAGATCTATCACAGAACACTTGGAAATGTGTAAGGGTTATTTGGGGTTTGTTGCACTGAATACATTCTGAAGACCAGAGAGGAGGGCAAAAAGTGCTTTCTACCTCTGATGCTTTCCAGCTTCATGAACATAAGATACAAGGCAAGGAAAGAGTTCTTCCAATACTCTTTATCTCCAGCAAGCTACTCAAGGATAGAAAGGAGATGACCAGAGAAGAAAATATGTAAAGCTTTTCTTCTCAGAGTGCATTTTTAGTTTTTGCCTCTAATATAGCCCCTAATTCTGTCTCTAATGTTGTTAATGGCTTTCCTTAACATAAACCAGTGTGAAATCAGCCCTCTTGTGACATTATCACTACCTAGAGCACTCTTTGTAGAAGCCATGGACCTGAGGAGCATTTATTCATATGTTGCTTGTGAAAGACAAAAGCAGTTGCAGCAGACATAAGGATCCTTCATCAGATCCAGGGAAATAATCTAAAATAAACTAAGGCAAAGACATACTCTCAAGGGCTTCATGTCTCTACATGAATATTTAGTCTTTAAGTAAGGTGGCAATAAAGGTCCCGAAACTGCCCCCATAAGCTTACAGAAGAACTTTTAAGACTTTTCTATGTTCTGGAATAATAATGAACTGATAAAAAAAAAAAACAAACCTAAAGATGTTAGCAGAGCTCTGACTTCTGTTATTCTGTTAATAAAATCATTCAGTGTAATAACACAAAATGCAAGACTGAGTTTGTGCTAATATTTATTTCATACCATCTGTCACTAGAGTCTAAGTAGAGTCTAATGATGTAGTTAAAAAATAGTTTGATTTGGAGACTAAATGACCAATCAACATTTATAATACTCCATCTGCAAGAGAACACAGAAAAGAAGAAACACCAAACAGTCATGCCCAGCCCATCACTTTGTAAGGTAAGATTCAAAAAAATGTCAAAAGTAGGTTGTTCTGAGTTTGTATATTAACAGTGTGGTAGCAGGTTAATCATTACATATTTCGTGATCAATAGTTTTTTCCAGTTTTGAAGAGGATCAACTGCACAAATCTCTCATGCAATTTCACTGGCCTAAGATGGTCTAAACATGGTAAATCAGTTCAAAAAATACAATTTGTTTTCCTGCCAGTATGCCCAATACTGAGGAAGAAGTTCTAGCTCAGTCATTTCTAGGTGCCTATATTTCCACTAAAAAGGAGATCCAGGACCTTCCACCTAGTTAAGTTAAAGCTGCCACAGCTTATGGAGTTTCTAGCAATTTAAACAGGGTGCAAAGAAACTGTTTATTTGAGAATGACTGGTGACCATTGATTTGTAAGCATAGATACTCGATTTTCAGTGTATGCTTTTATTCCTATGGTTAAGTGGTAACATAGCAGTACCTCCTGCAACTAATGCCAAGTAAACACCAACACAGAAGCTTCACACAAGCACTCATTTAGCCTGCTTATTAAAAGATCCTTTCCTCTAAGAAGTCACCAGTTGTGCAAGCCTGTTGGAAGAAACTGCACACAGACTTCAGTTTGTGGCACGGGGCTTGCTTTCTTACACAACATATGTCCCAAGCTTTAATATCTGTAGTATTATGAGTTCACAAACAATTTTGAATAATCCTCTGGGTGGGAGAGGAACACACAAAGAGATGGCAATAAAAAGGCAGAAATATTTATATTTGAAAGACTGAGCTGTCATCTTTGTGAAAGAACCAAAGGCTCTCTGATCACCGCCCACACTCAGTGATTACTACAGAAAAGCCAGGAAATAGGAAAAGGGACTCACACACTGCACACTGAAAAACTGACTTTGCCACAAGAAAGCCATCATGATCCTCTGGGTGCCAAGAAAAACATCCTTGACATTTTAGCCTGCAAAACGCATACAGAAAAGTAGAACTATTAAGGGGAAGGTGGAGTGTAGAAAGACACAGTCAGTCAATGGGCTCACCACTACCTTCCCAGAGTAGTATTCTGCTGTACTTCAAACCCTACAATTTTTATTGGAACAGAGCATTTCTCAAGCTTGCACAGAAAGCTACTAAATCCACAAAGGGTGAGATTAAGGTCCCCAGAGATCAAGGTCAGCAGGGAGTGTGAATTTCCACCTCAAAAATGAAGAAAAGCAAGAGACACCCAGCACCTGCATAAACCTCAAATAAAAAGAACAGTTGAAGTACCTTGACATCTTCAGACAATGCTGAAGATCTGTTGCTCTGGTGACTTTCACCCAGTGAACTATAGCAAAGGATTACTGCAGAAGAAGGAAAAGAAAGCACAGGCTCCTTACAGCGAGATAGCACCTGCACAGCAGCTCACTATGTCCCTACCTACAGTAACCAAGACTTGAGGACAACCAATCTATGATCAACTTGCATACTGAAAACACCCACACCCTTGCTGTTTGAAAATTAGAGAGAAGTACCCCCAACCTCCAAATCATGGCTTGTCAATAATTTATCAAAATGAATTATTTTAATAATAGTTAATGATTTCTTATAGACATGATGATCTCACCCTTTCATAGTATTCCAAAATTAGACATTTTTTTCCTGGAACATAAGTACATTTGGGCTGCTCCACATCTGTCCAATAGCTTTTTGCTCCTGTAAGCATCACTCACTTTTCTCCATTAAAAATTTGTTTTATCCCATCAGTTACTTTGTAATTCAGGGGCATAATATTCCCTTTCTTCCATATCACATGGGCTGCAGAAGAAAGGCATGGAACACAGTGACAGTGTCCAGGCAATTTCCACGGGAGCTTTACCTGATAATGCTAATATTAAATAATAATACTGATATTGGAATGTGCTGCTCAGGGAGGTGGTGGAATCAATGCCTCTGGAGGTGTTTAAAGAAAGACAGGACACAGCACTTAGTGCCACAGTCTACCTGACATGACAGTCTTTGGTCACAGGTTGGACTCAACGATCTCAGGGATCTTTTACGACCTAATTGATTCTATGATTGTGCAGAATATTTATTTTATTTGGGAGTTTAAAGTAAAAAAGGAATCCTTTAATTTCTTATTGCATACACAGTCTTTAGGAAAAAAAAAGACCCAAAAAACCCCCCCAAAAAAATCCTCTACCGAAACAAAAAACCCAACCAAACAAGACTGAATATTATCAATGGTACCTCGAGAGTCTGACAGGCTCTAGAATGAAAAACTGAGCAACTGAGCCTGGCATTCTCTCATTCCTTGCCCTTCCTTTGTTGCCTGCTGTCACCTGTGCAGCGCGAGTTGCCGCGCTTCATCCACATCGGCGGCTGCCGGGCGCTGCCAGGGAAGGCAGGGAACGCGTTATCCGGCCGGGCTGCCGGACCAACTCCCGAGGCTGCAGGGAGCAGCCGAAATTCCCGACACGGAGGCGGGGCGCGTGTGTTATGTGCGTGTGTGTGTGTGTGTGTGTGTGTACACTGCCATGCCGCACTCGGCACCCGCGCCCCGCTCGCCCGTGCCGCCTCACTGCCTTCCCCGCACGCTGCCGGCCCTGCCTCCCGCGGGAACCTCCGGGCGGCGGGGCAGCGGCCAGGCTCGGCGGGGCAGCGGCCAGGCTCGGCGGGCCAGGCGGTGACAGCGGCGGCCATGGCCCCCGCCGCGGCGCTGCCGGGCTGACAGCGCGGCCGGACGGAGCGGGGCGGGAGGCGCGGTGCCCGCTGCCCGGGGGGACGCGGCGGCAGCGCTGACACCGCCGAGGCGGGCTCCGGGTGGGCGCTCCCCCAGCCCAGGGACAAGGGGCGGCACCCCGCGGGCACCGGGCGGGGCCGGGGGTCCCCGCCGCGCGCCGGGAAGGTGCGCTCCGGTCCTTACCTTCTCTCGGGAGCACGGCAGCGGGACGCGTCCTCCTCCTGCTGCTGCTGTCTCTGTGGACGGCGCGGCCGCGGGGAATCGGGCAGGGCAGCGAGTGCCGCCCGCAGTGCTCAGGGGCTGAGGCTCAGCCGCGGCTCCAGGCACCAGGGATTGCGAACACCCTACCCGCCCTTCTTTCCTTCTTTCTTTCTTCTTTCCTTCCTGTCTTTCCTTCCTTTCTTCCCTTCCTTCCTTCTCTCCCTCTCTCTCCCTTCTTCCCTCTCTCCCTCCCTCCTTTCCTCACACCCCGCGCCGCCGCTCGGCTCCCCCCCGCCCCCTCCCGGCGGCGCTCCCATTGGCCGCGCGCCGCCCACGTGGGCCTCGCGCAGGGCACGGGACGCGGTCGAGCGGTGCCGCTGCCAACGACAGAGCGCTCGGGGCAGGGTGGGCAGCGCAGCGCCTCTCTCCATTCCCAGGGCCGGCCCCATCCCGAAGGAGACGGGCGCGGACGCCCGCAGGGCGACGGGAAATAACGGGCTCGCGGGATGCCACACACGGACGGGGCTGGGACGAGGACTAGGGCGCGAGCATTGCGCATGCGCGACGGGGGGGCTGCTGGGGGCAGCCGCGCATCCTCTTGGGCTGCGGTCGCTGGAACCTTCTGGAAATGGCGGCGGCGGCCCTGGCTGGTCATGGGCGAGGTGGCGGATGAGAGCTTTTCCGGTCCCTGCCGCGGGACGGGAGCCGACCTACAGCCACCAGCGCGCCCCGCTTCGCTTCGCCTCGCCCAGCGCTGCCGCTGCCGCCCCCTCCCCGGGGAGGGGTTTTTCCGGCGGTGATGGCGCAGTGAGTTTTAACTCCCCGGCGCAGTGCGCGTGCGCGGCGGGCGCTGCCCATCCCGTTCCCTCGTACCTTCTATCCCATCGCCGGGCTAGTGGGTGCCGAGGGGCTGCGGCTAAAGGCCCCGCAGTTTTTGGGAGAAGCCCCCGGACGCAGGTGCGTGTGGCGCGGTGCTGGAAAGCCCGGGGTGGCCGTTCGCTTTCGCGAAAGGCTGCGGGATGCGGCTCCCGCCGCGCCTGGGGTCTGGTCAGTGCTGCGTCCCCAGCCCCCCACTTAGGCACAATTCCCATCCGCCCGCCGCTGCAGGACAGGGCAATTTCTGGGTTTCCAAACTAGTTTTTTGGGGGTGCTCTGCTTGTACAAATGAGTCAGACGTCATATAAAGACATCTGAGGGGTTACGGAGTTGACTGACGATGTAGGCCTAGTTGCAGCCTTGGAAGGGGGGTCATTCATCTGCACTCGTGAGAGGTTTTGCATCTGCTTGTAACAACAGTCGTATGTGGCAGGATTTAAGGAACACGTCTGGTGCTGTACTCCTGAATTCTCGAGTAATGTTCTCCAGATCGCTTCTGGGAGATGCTGAAGGGCCGCCAGGTGTAGTATTTTGACATGGTAGCTAAACAAAGTCCTTTAGCATAGTTTTAATTGCTGTGGTCACTCTGCTACTGGATTGCTTTAATCTGTTACTGGATAGAAATTCCTTAATATTTCCTATTCATCAGAAAAGTGGGGTTTTTTCTGTATCAAAACATAACTTTGATTGAAGACACCTATTATGTGGACTTGCTGTACATTCTGATTCCCCCCTCCTCCCCGCAATGATCTATCAGCATGGATAGAGCATGGCATCAAAAATCTCTCGTTCCCATGCTCCACAGCTTACTGTTCAGACAAACTTGTCTCATTTGCTTTCACAATCTTCCTGTACAAATGCTGGTACAGATGATTTGTGTTGTTAAGTAACTGCCTTCACTTTCATTTGATTCTGTTAGTGTACAGTGGGCACTGTCCAGTGGCCAGGAACAGCTCTGTCAGCGTGAGTGACTATGCCACAAAGGGAGCTGCCTTCAAATTCTTTTGTGTTCGATTGATGACAGAGGCTATCTCTAGAAATGGAAAACTCATTGAATAACAGACAGCCTATGGAATGTCAGCCTACATAAAGTAAGAGCAGTTTGCAAAAGCAGAATAATTTTTCTTTTCATGGTGTTATACATGGGTGCACATGGTTAAACGTGACAGGCTACAGGTGTGGTCTGCATTGTGATACTGCATTTTGATCCTTGTGCATGAGTAGTGTGGAGTTCCAGGAATTTGGTGTGTGTTAGGTGTTCATAACCAGACACTGAGGTAATGGGGAAGGGGGTCTCGTGAGCAATATCTGCTGCAACAGATGTTAGGATATGATAATAATATCTGTCAGTAACTGGAAAAAATACTGTTCTTTAAGCCTTTTGTAAGAACTACTGTTTGGACTAACGAAAAGCATCAGTCAGTTGACTGCTAGTTGCTACCCCTACATTCATTTCTTGCCCTTGTTTCCATCAGCCCCTCCCTTTTACATCTAGCACAGCTGCAAGATGCTTTTGTAGCTGCATGGTGTGCTTAGGACTTCCTTTGATCTGCCTTCCCATTCTGTGTCACCAGCTCTGTGAACTACCGGTCTTCAGACCACACAGGTCCAGCATCTGCTTGAACTGTGTCATTGCTGAATTCAGTTTAGTAACTGAAGGACTGAAAATTTCAGACTGCAGTACAAAAACCTGACACAAGAACTTGCGGGATGCCACACAGGTCAAAGCATGTGTGCTAGCCTTTTAAGAGGTAACTGGCAGGTCAGCCCATGGGGCCAGCAAACATCCTGCACAGGTGGGATGGGATTTCACTGCTTCTCCCTATTTAATTGACAGAACACTGTTCTAGATAACATTTTTCTAGCAGTGTGTGGTGGTAATGGAAATCCTTTCTGTTATCCAACATCACACACTTCGTTTGGTATCTAGAATTTCTTATTACTCCACACTACCTTCAACAAAGGAAAGAATCGTCACCTCCTACTCTTGAAGTCCAGTGGATTCTTTTGGTGTCTTTGTGCTTCTGTATCCTAAATCACATTTCCTTTCTCAAGGCTACCTATTTTAAAATCTTCTCAAGGTAGTCTTTTTTTTTTTTTCTTCTCCAGTTTCTTCTTTATATTCCACTTTCCTAGAAAGTGGAATATAAATTATTAATATTATAATTAATACAGTATGTGAGTTGTTTAATTTTTGCCTCATTCAAGAAGAGGCAAACAAGACCACTGCAAACACATAATCAGTTCAGTTGGTGCTACAGTAACAGTTTCAGGAATGTGTGGACTGGTGCAGTAATTGACTCATTTTTTGCTTAACTCACCACCCACTATTCTTACAATCCAGGATATTAACCGCTTGATTGAAACTGTAGAATTGCAAGTGTTATTTGACAGGTTAGTGCTACTGCCTAGAATTAATATTAGTGACCCTCTGCTATTGAGGATAATGAAAATTCTGTTCTGATAATATTTGTTACATTTTTCCTGCTACAAATGTATATAGTAAAATATAAATTTTTAATACTAGTAAAAGCAAGCACAAGGTATTATCTACAGCTATTCAAAAACAGAACAGAGAATTGGGATGCATCAATTCTTGCACAATTCTGGAACTCTTTCATAATGATCACCTTGTTAATTCTCATCACAATCCTGCATTGTGAAATTAATTTATTGCATATAGTAAGCAGTACCTGTAACGAATAATGTAGAATATGTATTTCTACTTGAGATGTTTGAAATGTTCAAATTTCAACAAAACCTGAAATAACGCAAGATGTGATTTTTTTTAACCATTTAATACAATGATTGCCCAAACTTTTTTGAGGAGAAACCAGGACCATAAAGCCTCATATAATTGATGGAGTGGGTAAGATAAGAGAGAATAGTTACTTTGTCTACCATAATTTCACAGTCTTGTAGCTGCCTCCAGTACTCAAAGAGTGATGGATCAGATTTGTGCCATACAGTAGGGATAATGTAAATTATACTATTCTAGTCAAGTGATTGGCAGATTCTCACATTACATCAAAATGACTGACAGCTTGTTTGTGGAACATCACTAGCAATCTCCCAAGTATGGGAACTGTGGGAGGTCCATGTTCTGCTCATGAGACAGACATCAAAATTGTCACATGCAGATGGAATGAAATGGGGGGAAAAGTGCTGCAAGGCTACAAATGCTGTCTGGCTTTAAAAATGGGTGGAGTCTGGCATTCAAGAGCTTTGTTTTTGTATAGTTGGATGTTTCAACCTTGGCAGGTCCAAAACTATGTTTCCCTTCAACATGATTGCGCAATCCAGTGGGATTTCACTGCTGCATACCAAACCATGAATAACTGTAGCACAGTATAGTTCCACAATGCATGCAACATCCTCACTTGTATTCAACATATACTTCAAAGGTTAGAATAAGGTAAGGCTTTATGAACTAGAATACAGTTTTGCTGTTAAAATGGAATAGACAGTGTAGTCAGACTGGGATACTAAACTGAGTCTGTCTTTGCATCAAGATAAGAGATGCAGTCTGCCTCATCTCATGTCTCTAGAGAAGTGCCACATAGTGCCAGATGCCTGGCCTGCTACAAGGCCTGAGGCTATTACAAACATGGAGTGACCTTTCAGAAGAGCAGAGACTTTATATGACAGATAAGATTTCAATCCACGTACTATTTTCTTCTGTGCATTATGTTCTGGACTGCTTCTCACAAAATTTTTTTTCATGCTTGTTTGGAAACTGCTTGACTCATGAGTTATATATATGTATTGGATTTTCTTTTCCATTTGAATGCAATTAAATTATTTCATTTTATAAATATAGTAAAATGGAAGATAGCCAAGTTTCTCATACAAATGATTTACAGATCTATTTTGTTCCCAGAACTACCAACAGTAATACTGCTTTTTCAATGGCGTGTGAAGGAACTTCTTCACAGTGTATTGAAATAAAGGTGTGCATCAACAGACTACACAAGATAGCCATTATGCAGGTAATCTGTAAAAACAGAATTTAACTCCAAAGAGGGAGAATAGTTTGGTGAAGTACTATTAATTAAGACTATCAAAACAAACTAAATATAATATAAAATAAAATTATAAATTATAAGGTTAAGGTTCATCTGTCTCATCAACTGTAATGCAAATGTAAGTTCCGTGCCATATTTGAGATGAGGCAGGTGCAGTATGGTCTCAGGTGACTGATACGTCCACATTTCCTAATTTACATGGAAATGTATGTCTGCATAGCTAAAGCATTTACCCAGTTTTATAAGCATAGGTATGAAGTGTCAGTATGCACTCAGTTTTTTAAAAAATTGTCTTCAGATTTTTTATATTGAAAGAAATTCCTCAATTTCACATAGATTAGTTCTTGAAGGTAGCTGGTGCTCAGTAAGAAGGTCAAAGAAGTATCTCTGAACAAGGATCCAGTGTCAGATATTATTACTGTTAAACACATGCTGAACTGTTTTGGTATATTCTGTCTTCCCCCATCTCCATACTTTGTCTTTACTAAATAAATTTGCACAGGAAGTTAGTTGGTTTTTGTTGCTTTTAATTCTTTTAGTAGAATACTGCTGCTCTTTGGGGCTTTACATTTTTCCTGATTACAGAATGATACTAAGAAGAATTAAACTTAAGAAGAACCACTTCTAACTGAACCTACAGGATTTTTTACACAACATGGCTCAGATAACCTTTCTTGTTTGTGTGTGTTTGATTATAAATTGCCAATAAAAGTAACATGATGAAGTTTTGTCAGAGAATCTCCTTTCAATTTTGTTCTTTGCACATGCCAGATTTGTAATTTAGGTTTGTTGCTGCTTCAAAGAGCTTTAGAAAAAGCTGAAACAATTTTCAATGACAGATCAAAAGATGTAAGTTTTAATCTCTCATTTACGCTCTTTGGTGAGAAAGTGGATACTTTCAGGGAGTCACTTTACACAGTCTACAGAACCACTTTTCTTACAATCTGGAATTATGATTAAACTGCTGTAGTTAAAACCACAGTAAGTTAAGCAGCATAATTGCTGTTATTTTTCTTTTAAAACAAAACATTAGAATGTACATCATTTTACTAAGATTTAAGATACTTTATTCTTTTCAGACAGTTCATCTTCTATTACAAAAATCCTTAGAGATCATCTCGAACTCCAAAACCTGGTCCTTTGGGTGGTTCAGTCAGGGAAGTAAGGCCACCAGCTGGCTCACAAGAAAAACGTCCACTCCTGAAAAATGAAAGCAGTTTATTAATTTCTGGTATTGATAATAACTCATATTCTGTTTAATCGCTGGATAGAGGACAGTCACAAATCACTTAAGGCTGAAGCCACTATTTTTTGTTTTGTTCTTCCCTTTCAGCCTTCGGAAAAAAATGTGATGTAGTTGTTAAAGTGAAAGGATTCTAAATTCAAGTACTGACAAAAAAATTCATAACTGAAATGCAAGCTAAGACCACTTGTTTTCTTTTATTTATTTATAGATTGGCCAGGCAGCATCAAATTTTATAATCACAGTTTTGTTATGGGCGCTTCCCTGGTTTTATTTGAAACTGTAACTGTTTCAAGATTATTGTTCTTGTATTCAAAACATCTTTAAAGAAACAATAGGAATAGGTAACACCCAAGTCAAATTAATTTCCCCACTGACACGAACCTAGGTGGGCTAACAAAGAACAGCGGGAAATAACAGATAAGAAAACTTCAGCAGTGACAACCCTCTCACTAACTTACAGTCTTTGTTTTTTATCAGAAATCAGAAAAAACCAACACAACCAACAAGCCAGCCAACCAACGGAAATTTGTTGGTTTAAATGACCTAGACAAAAATTCCAACAGGTGACATCATTCACCTATTAAGTACTAAGACAAATCAGAATTCATGTTTTCACATTTCATTCTCCTCTGGTCAGTCATCAAAAACATGCAAATTCTCAGTTCTTTCAAGTTTGTTTTGTCTTTAAATGCATGCACTTCTGTTCAGTAAATTAATTCTTTTTAGCTGTAGGCTGTGAACTCAAATCACTGGAAAAGTAATTTAGTTTCTCAGAAGAATCACCCTTTGTATAGGTGACCAATATAATATATGTAATTTATAAACACAGGCAATTATATATTTTAGCTTATTATAAAGATAGCATACCTTGGGCCTGGTTTGGGAACTTTGCCAGCCTTTAGCTCATCAATTATGTCTTCAATATCTTTGGGTGTCAAATCTTCCTGTAAAACAAAAAATTAAATCACTGACAAAACTGAGAGAGTCATCAGTTATGCTAAATGCAGCACTTCAAATTTATCAGATCAGTGTGACCCTAGCGCAGGTAATTTTGATCCTATCCATTAACACATATAATGGTTTAAAGAATGAGGGAGATTGAAAAGTCTGCTGTCATTTTAATGTTGAGACTTTATGTGTAGTTGTAGATATTATGTTAAAACTTAAGCAATGTCGATAGAGGCCAAGGGTTTGTGTTTTCAACTTCCCGATATTAGGGAGCTGGATCTCTCCCTACCGACTACACGTATGCCACGACACATGATGTTTGTCATGCAGAATAGTGTTGGCTGCAACAGAAGAATTTGGGGTACAGTTCAAGACAACACTTCTTAAATTAGTCCATACTTTCCAACAGACTGCTTTAAAATGCTTTCAAAAGCTTATCAAATACCTATTTTAAAATTCCAGATTTACAGGCAGACCACAATCACAAAAATGCATCACTCCTCTTGTATAATTAAGACAGTAACTGAAATGAAAAATACACTCATGCATCTGATACAAATGAAGTATTCTAGCAAGAAACTAAAAGATGCTGTAGAAAATGAGTTGTTCCTGTCAACAGGAATTGGAAAACTGACCACAACTTCACAATCTGGAACAACTGAAAAATACAGGTAAGCCAGCAAAGAAGCCTAATCTTTTAAAAGAGAATGCAGTACTTACATAGTAATTGTCATTTATTTGTACCATTGGTGCATTTACACAAGCACCTAAACATTCCACTTCTATCAGCGTGAAGAGCTTATCCGGTGTTGTTTCTCCAACTTTAATACCTAAACCAATAAATTAATTAGACTCAGCAATGGTTATGAACAACAGTAATGAAGCATAAATCTAAGTCCTCCAGGGACACTGCATTACTTGTAGTTGGGCCTTAAAAGCATTTGCAAAGTTAAACACTTTTAAATGAGTCCAAAATGTTTCCATTAAACAGAAGTTTCTAATAAACTATTAAGTCAATTTTCAGATATAGTTTTGAGACCTTGTTTACACGTATGAATCACTGAAAAAATAACCATGAAATGACAATTCTAAGAAATACAACAGATCTACTCAAGAACATTTTTAGTAATCAATACAGTAAAATGAAAAAATACGGACACATAGCTTTTATGTGCTAATAGGAAATGCATTAATTTACAGTGTTGAATGTTCCCAAATTAACCAACATCCAAATATTGTTAGCTACAAATTCACAACTTTCAAGTTTATAAACAAAAGATGATTTACCAAACTGTACACATACTTAGCATCCATGGCATGTTACTGTTCTACTGTTAAGAGATACAGACGTTCCCCAAGAGGTGAGTTAGTCCAAGTAACATCTCAGGGTCTGATCTCTACAAAATACTCTATGGAAGGAAAAATACTGAAAGACAGTTTTCCTCCATTTACTAGTAGGAAGGGGTTGGAAATTATGAAAATTTTAAGTAAGGCCTGTCTCAGTAAAAACTACAGAATCATCCTTTCTGCTTTGATTTCTCAAGCTGAGCGTTTCAGTTGAAATTAAGCTATCTATGCAGTAACAAGACATTTCACCTAAATATGCCTTTTTTTCAGACAACAGAGTATATGAAATGACAGATAATAGACAGCTGTTCTGCAGCTTTTATCACTGGTTCTTAGAAAAAGTTAACAAATCTTTTCATATCGGGAAGAGTTGTCAGTTGCTGATCTTACCCTCTCTTCTCCCCATAACCACCCAAAGAGGAGGAAAAAACCCCAACCCACACACAAAATCCCTGAGTATTCCTCATGTCCCATGATGCACCATTCTCAATTGACTTTTCCCATGGAGAATTCATAAATTATGTTAACATCATGTCATCATCCAGAGGGACTTTGACAGCATAAAGACATGGGCTTGTGTGAACCTTATGAAGTTGAACAAGGCCAGATTTTTCTTCCCCTATATGAAGAATTTTACGTTGTTATCATTAAACAAAGGTAAAAAAAGTACAAGAAGTGTATTACAAATTTGTGCCATACCAAGTTTCTTCTTAATGGCTTCTAAAATGCTGTCAGAGTCTCGCAGCATGCATGGCGTGGTGGTGCAGACCTGAATGTGGTATTTCCCAACAGGTTTGCGATTGTACATGGTGTAGAAGGTTGCTACTTCATAGACTCTCATGGGAGGCATTTCTAAAACTTCAGCAACCTGTGACAGGCAAAAACATGCTATATTGAATTCTCAGAGGGCAGCAGTAAAGGCAATTAGCAAACCATTTCAGTGAAGTCACCTGTCCTGTTTGCAGTTTCAGGTAAGTAAGAGGGTGGGGATGGGTATCAAAGCACAAATGTATTCCAAGTGCCAAGACCAGATACCCAAGTTCTCTGACTGGCATCACCCTGCTTGAGCACAAACTCTGCTAAGCCGTGGATCAGCACAGCGGGGAGCTCGAGTCAGCTGCCCTCCACCATCTCTTGTCAAGACACAAGGGGATGTGAGGAGTCAGCTGGGTTTGAGCTTTCCTTGTCAGCTCCAGCTCACACTGCACTTGGGCTGTGTCAATGAACCAACCCGTACGAGCCTGCCCACACTAATCCATGGAAGCCTTTTGGTAAGGAATACTTGTAAGCTGGTACTGTGCTTTTCTAATTCATACAGAGCAGGTTCTGTGCCACACCAGGGCTACATATGCAGATTCCTGGCACAGCTAATAAGTACAGAGTGGAGCATGATCTCCATGGAGCCAGTTCTCGTGCAAGTATCCTGATCTCATTATCATGGAACCCTGGCAAACTGCTCAAGTTGAGAACTGGCTCTGGTTTCAACAGAGTAACTGTTTTATGTTCCAGTTTCTCCAGCAGGCAAATAAGAAATCATGGAAAATATTTGTTCACTTAAAAGCCTTAAGATCTTTTTAAACATAGTATCAATCTGAAACTAGAATAAACTAATACACACTGTCAGCATTAATGGAACTTTGAGGCTTTATGTTATGCTGTAGAAACTGTAGTTGCCTTTCTTTAAATGTTCATTCACCTCCTTCTGTCATTCCCCTAATGCTCAAAATCCTCACCTTAAACTGAATTTAAAACTTTACACTTTAAAATTGATGATATACCAGATGTGCCCAAAGTGCAACAGATTTATTCATATGAATATAAACCAGATTTTTTTATTTCTTGGTATTTGGTTACTGTCATGCAGTCTCTCACTTTGAAGCAGTGTAGTTGTTTGCCTGGTTATTCTGAAACAATTTTAATAATGAACCTGACAAGTCTTCTAGGCACTTGCTGTAAGGTATTACTCAACACTCCTGACATCGACTACACTAAAACTGCCCTGCAGATTTTGAGATTAAGTATAATCCAGGCAATGTGTGAAATGCCATTAATCTGGGAGGAAGAAAACTCCACTGACATTACCTTCTTTTTCTTCCCCCACATTCAGCAGTGAACAAAATCAAGTTTCTGTTCCTAATTTAACAATCACTCTGGTAGAAGAGACTATCTGAATAGGTTTTATCTAATTTTTTATTTGTTCTGCCTGTAGTTTCTAGCAGTGGGCTATTATATAAACAGAACCCTGAGTTTTCTGCATTAGTTTTCCCTTTTATTTTTAAAAATGTAGTCTCATAGAGAATTCTCACAATTCTGTGCTACATGTAAATTCCCATGTTAATAAGCTTTCATTAATTGATGTTAATAGTCTAATAAGGTATTGAAAGATAACAATAAAATTATGCTTGAAAGATAATCAAGTACTAAATACCTTGTTCATGGCTGATATGGGCAGCCATCCATGCTGTCTTTGGGCCAAATCCAGTACTGCCATGACAGCTGCAGATTTGTGTCCCTCTGGGTAGTTGTTTATGATTGCTTCTATTCGCTTGTTAAGGGGAAAGAAGGAAAACAAATCAGTACTGCTCTAAAGACAAAATCTGTGTATTGAACTTTTTTTTTGTCTGCATACCTTTAGATTTTCAGGTGTGAACTCAAATGGAGTATCTGGATTGTTTTCAGGACTATCTCTATGCTTCAAGAAAAGAAGAAAAATATGTAAAAATGGGTTGTTAGAAAATTATTCAAGACATGTTTGCTGTTGTAAAATACCTTCTTGTTACACAGTTACAGTTGAGCTGCTTGAATAAAAACTATATATTCCACATTAAAATGTTGTAGTACTAAAGTGATTAAATATATTTGGGAAAGTTATCAAAAATATTGATAATTATTTCATCACTCTTAAAAATCATTACCTATTCCTATTACTTCCCACTAAAGAAATTATTTACTGAGAAAAACGTGAAATTATATATTGAGAAAATGTACGGTGTTACTATCAAAATACATATTTTAACACTGTTAATACAGTTTGACAATTATGTTCAAATTTAAAATAGGTAGAGTAAGAATGCTCTGGTTAATACCTTAATAAACAAGAGACTAAAACAACAGTTCATTTTCCCTTTACCATAAAACATTAATTTAAAAAAAAACTCCATAATTCATCAATAAGTTTGTTGTAGAATTAAAATATTTGCACATTCAAACACATTATTAATCTATTTTTATATATTATTTTGATTTGTAATGGATTTTTAGCATTTTAATTTTATAAACAAATCTGAATAAAAATGTAAGAAGCAGAATTTTGAATCAGTATTGCCAAAATAATGTATTCTAACAAGTTATTTTTAAGATGGTCTTCTAGGGAAACATCAAATTTTAATTATTTCTTATATATTCAGAAAATAAAAATTTGGAGGTCTTGAAAAAAGTAACATTTTCCTGTAATAAAATCTTAGTTCTGATTAAAATAGTTTTCCACCAGAAAATGTTCCTGCACAGAATTTTTAGCTGTCTCTAAGCAGCTCATTTTGGTTTCCTTTAAATACCTAGAGTAAAGTTTAATCCCAAACTTCATACTGTTTTCAGATTGAGAAAATTTGAAATCAAAGGGTAAGTTTGTGGGGAAATACAAGCTATACTTGAGGCTTGATGTTCAGAGTAATCCAGCTTTAGAATAAAAGCTTTAGAAGTGTATTTAGAACAAAGAAACCCCCTCCACAGACTTCCACTTGCATCATTTCCTCCAGTAATCGAGGGCAATTTTGCAGTTGCCACAGTACACTGTTCTTACTAAGCAGCAATGGTTTAATGAAAGGATTTATTGAAAACCTTAGCATTGCTGAAACACTTGCATACTGAAGTATGTATCATCAGTTAAGAACTTAGAACGTGTGTGGTCCACAGATATTCTTAGATTTAGAAATTTTAATATGGAAATATTGCAAGGGCAAATACTTCAATTACATCTGTTGGTCTGTCCAGGGATTACCTGTGCTTATCCTGTCTATATCCCAAAGCAGACAATATGACTGCCACCATCAGTCTGAAAGCATTGTGCCCTCACCACAGTTTCAAATCCAATATAAAATTAGCGTTGATAAAATACTTCATCAAGGATGACTTTCCTATAAAAAGAGGAATTACAGAAATATGAATAATACCCTTTGAGCACACTAATATTTTATTTAGTGTTAATTTCTTGCTTCTTGTGTGGTTTACAACATAAAAGAGGAACACGATTCCCATTATTTCAGACTGACCCTTCCAGATAAAGGATCTGATGACTCATATTTAGTCTTGGTGAGTGTTTTCTACCAATTTTATTGGTAGAAAAAAAGAGTAAAAAAAGCTCTCAAAAAGAGGCCGATGGAGAAAAGACTGATTGGAAATACTGTGCAGCTTTTATTATTTTTTCCCTTACAGACCTTTCCATGTCTTAGCTGCACAGATCAATTCCAAAATTCATGGTAAGTATTTCCACAACTTAGCTTTTCCTTCTCAAATCTGCATGCCTATTTTGCTATTATTTTGCCTTCTGTAGCTATTTGATAGTTAGCAATTGTACTTCGTCTCAACTGCTTTTGTAAATAAATGTATTTGATTTATTAAAATTTCCGTCTTTGTCTGGAGCAGCTGTTCTTTTCAGTGTATCATCTGTAAACTGATATCCTTAAATGCCCTACATGTGAAGAGGGATAATAAAGACTTTATATTGGAAGATACAGGTATAGCTGTAGCAGGGTTTCATGATATATTGTAAAGGCTATAGCAGAGGTGAGCAATAAATAAGCCATGCCACCTTTTATATCCTCCGTTTTCCTGAAAGGACTTAATCTAATTCTGGGCCATGAAGAGTTTGGTAGTTTTCATCAAGAGTTTACACAGTTCTAGGACTCCTGAACAGTTAGGAATTTATATGTTCTCTAGTCTTACATTTGTCTGACAATGTGCCATTTATCTGAGACCTGCATGCATTGACATGCTCCTAAATCACATAGGTGCATTTCCACATGTTTTTTTAGGATGCAGATTTAGAGAGCAAGATCAGAAATAAGGATAAATTGAAAAAGAGAAATATTGGAAAGAGAACTATTTTAAATTACAGAGTGGTTGAAGTTGGAAGGAACATCGGGAAGTCATCTGGGTGAAACTCCCCTGCTCAAGCAGGGACACCCAGAGCTGCTTGCCCAGGACTGTGTCCACATGGCTTCTTCTGAATTTATCCCATAATGGAGACTCCACAACCTCTCTGGGCAACCTGTGCCAGTGCTCTGTCACCCTCATAATTAAAAAGTGTTTCCTGATGTTCTTTGAGGCCATTGCCTCTGGTCTTGTCACCTGGTACCACTAAAATGAGTCTGGCTCTGTTCTCTTTGCACTCTCCTCCCATACAAGTCTTGTTCCAAGTCTCCTCTCATGCTCCCCAATTTCCCAAAGTCTTATGTAAGTTTTCATTCCATTCATACATCGACTGTATCACATTTCTATTGCAGAACAGAGCCTATATAAGTAGGAACACCTTCACTGCAAAGGCTACCCAAGCCACAGATGCCAGTGCACTCCCATGGAAGCCACGAAGGCTGCTGAATGGTCACCTCATATTCTTTTTGCTATGCTACACCAACCTGGGCCATTTTATTATTATGCTTTCTTTTTTCCCAGTGATCTAATCATCTGTCTTTCTTGACACAGAAAATAAGAGCACTGAATAATTACAGAATAGTTAGAATAATTTGGTTTCCATGTATACTGCAAGAAAGTTGGCCTGAAGCGTGACCTATGCCCTATGGTAAATACTAGTCCAAAGCAACTTAAACCAAAATGAGAGAACTGGGGGTGCTGCAGGGACAATGTTTAGGGCAACAACCTGTTCAGAATCCATATCAAATCAGCACTGAAAAAATATGTATTACTCCTCCTCTAAAGGGAAAGTATGCAACATTCACTACTCCAACAGAACTCAAGATATAACCCCCCCTTACTTTAAGAATGCTGGAAGTGCTCTCAAACCCAAGTATCTTACTGACCAACTTCACAAGTAACTAAAACTTGAATAAAGCAATTCTTCAACCTTTTGAGCTGAACCCCCTCTGCAGCCCTATGACAAAGTCCACTTCAGGGCTGTTGATGTGTTAAGGAAACTCAGTCCATGCATTGAAAACAATAAAGTAGAAAAGCTAAGTTTTAGCTGTTAAGAAAGCTAAAATAATGTAGAAGTCAAGTATAGAGAATACATGTTCCAATGAAAAAAGGTAATCATAATAAATGTATCTGGAATCAGGCCTTCCCTAGCCATCAGAACATAAAGGTTTGGAGCATTCCAAACATTCTTACATTCCTACGGGCAAACAATCTACCTAATTTTGTACTTGATACCCTCTCACTGAAGTGTGATGTAGCTGCCTGTGATGGCACCTAGTTGAATTTAATGATTGAGAGAAAGGCTCTTTCTGGGTGTTTCAGAATACAAAGGCATTTCAGAAGAACTCTGATTTCTGTGTGTTTCTGCTAACAAGTAACATGTTTGCAAAGGGAAACATAGGCATGCAAATCAGAAGTGCCTTTTAATAATAGATTTTATGACATCCATATGACAACCAGATCCCTTGCTAGCCTGTCCTCTGCTATTACAACACAAATACACAGCATGCATTTACCTTTTTGCACTTTTCATTTATAAAATCTATACCTCACATATAGATTTTATACATGAAAAGTGCAAGAAGCAGCAATAAGCTTTGTAAAATAAACCCATGACATTTGTGTGTAAACTGACATACTAAAAGGACCACCACAACAGGTTTGAGTTAGTCCCATTAGTCCTGCACAAGCAGTTTTTAAACTTTTGACATTTCTGCTTGTAATTAAAAAAAAAAACTTTAAATTTTTTTCTCTCTACAAAAATCCAAGGGAAGTCAAATTTTCTGACTGTATATGAACACCTGGTGTTGATGAAAATAATGCCTTTGTCTCAAACCAGCAAGATAAGTCTCCCTTGAAATCTGACATTTTAAGTAACATCTGGAATTTAGTTAGGGCAAACAATTACACACACATATAGTGACATTCGGCTGTCTTCTTCCCATTACCTTTTACTTCAGAGAAGAACAAGTATTACCTTATTAAAAAACAAAAACTGAGGAAAACAAAAACAATAAGGAAAAAACCAAACCCCCACTGAACCAAGTTCTTATGCTCCTTTAGCAAAAATTCTGCTGTGGAATAAATCATCAGTAATGCTATTAAATAAACATCTACAAAGCACCTACTTTTCTAGTTGCCTTTGCTCCTCCCTGTAGCAAATAATTTAAACAATTACATAAATCTTGAATTTACAAAGCTATCTAGCTTCACATGTCAGACATAACAGCTATTAAGGTGCCAAAGATATCTTTTGCCTGTCTTCACCAACCTCCAACTACTCTTAAGTTTCCTAAATTGCCAGACTGCAGCATTTTCTCTATTCCTTGAACAGCAGCTCTTATCCTGTAAATCGCCAATTCCTGCTCAGATTTCTGGAAAAGTACACAAAGCACATACTGAGATCCTATTGAATTCATTTTATGATTAAAGCTGTAGAGACAGCTGCAGAAAAGAAAGAACGTAAACATGTCCAAAAATCCTGAGCACCTGTCTTCAGCAGTGGTCAACTCTTTAGTAAAGGGCTGATTTTTACCAAGTGTTGGGAAAATGCCAAATTATTCAGCTGTTAAACTGCAGACCAGCTAAAGCTCTGAATGGAGCAGAATGGGACAAAACACATACTCTGTTGAGATGCTTCAATTCTCTTCAGAGGTAGACCAACAACACAGCTGCTTTACAAACTTAAATTCAAGGGGTTTTTACTTTTTGCAATTACTGCTACTGTTTATGCCTTTTATGACAGTGCTTAATGACCTCAATTACGACTCATTGTACCACCTGCTGTATCACACAGAACATGAACAAGAACTGTACTTTTCAACTCCTGTAAACACAACTAGGACTTGAGCCCACAGGTAATTCTGCAGCAAATTTCAGAAAGCAAGAAACTGCACCTGCAAAAAGTTTTATGAGATTCAATTACAAACTCAACTAAAATAAATAAAGGAAACAAGAACTGGTTTATAATGAAATAAAGTTTAAGCAAAGTCTCATCTGCAATCATATGAATTATACAGCATTTTCACTATATAAGGCAAGAAACATAAGAGCCAAAAACTAAAATAAAACCTAAAATAAAGCTCCATTACAATTATAATAAAAGGTTCTATAGAAAAAAACCCTCTTCTTTGTAAATGACAGTAGGTTTCTATAGCACAGCTCTGCCCATCACAAACTTTTAAGCTGATTTGAAAAAGCACATGCCAAACTCTTGTGACCCATCCCCCTTACAGTAAAACAGGTTATTTACCACAAATAAGGCTCCAGTGGCATTGCGCTCTGCTGTTCCATGCAAGTATCGGATCTGTCTTGCCTACAAGCAAAATACAGTGTTACTAATGCACATACTGCTAGTGGCTGCGTTCAGAACCAGTCTGATTTCCATTCTAACTGTAAGCCATTAGTGCTACTGCCATCACTAATAATTTTAAAAAGTCAAGAAGAGACTATTAAGGGCTCTCCTGTACTATTAGTAGAGTAAATCTCTCTACTCCTGCCTTGGCCAGTTCGAACAATGTAGAAATGAAGGATTTAACTCTGCTACTGCTTAATTTAAGTGCCTTCAATACAAATTCTCGTCCAACATTTGATGATAAATTTCCCCATTCGTGACTTTACATCCTATCTGCTATAAAGTTTGCAGAAAACACCACTGCTACTGAAGTTCTCCTCCAGCAAGCATTTGCATGCTTCTTTAGCTTTTATCAAACCAAATGCTGAGAACTGCACAAGAGGACAAATGTAAACACAAACCTGAAGAACGAACAGAACCCTATGCAAGTTCTGTTCAACTATCCTCTGCACTCTGACATGCCAGAACAGATCAATATTTCTAGATCCTGGCCAGTATTACTAAGATTTGTATAATTTTACCGCAAGTATTTATTCTATTAAAAATTAATTTTATATTAAATTACGTTTCTTTTTATACTTAATTCTTGAGCAATTGTGAGCTTTCTTAAAGTAGACTCACAGAACGCTTTAGGGTGGAAGGGCCCTAAAGATCAGGCTGCTCAGTGCCATCCAGCCTGGTCTGGAGCGCTCCCAGCGATGGGACATTTGACAGGGAAAGGCTGCAACCCTCCTGCGACACTACACTGCGGGTGCACGCTGCTTGCTGGTAAGACTGGGCTGATCAGGCCGTCTCTGCACAAGAGCCGGGACTGCGGGTCCGCGATCCTGGATCCCAGGCACCGACCGAGCCCCAGGCCGCCCTTCCCCACGTCCCGCCGCGGCCTCCCCGCTGTCCCGCGGCCTCTCCTTCTCCCGGCCGGCGGAGGCAGGGAGCCCTTACCGAGCGAGCGGCCGCGGCGCGCAGGGCAGCGCACAGGAGCATGGCGGCGGCGGCAGGAGCGCCGATTCCCGCTCCCGCAGCGCTTCCGTGTCCCGATCCCGATCCCGATCCCGGTCCCTCTCCTTGAGGCCTGGGCTCGCCCTCCGCGCCGCGCCAAGGAGACGCGCAGCGCGCATGCGCCGGGGCGCGGCCGCAGCGCGCGTGCCCGCTCTGGGAGCGGGCGCTGTCCCGGCTGTCCCTGCCCGCCCCGGGCGATCCCCGCCCCAGGCGATCCCCGCCTCAGGCGATCCCGGCCCCGGCGATCCCCGCCTCACGCGATCCCCGCCCCAGGCGATCCCCGCCCCAGGCGATCCCCGCCTCACGCGATCCCCGCCTCAGGCGATCCCGGCCCCGGCGATCCCCGCCTCACACGATCCCCGCCCCGGGCGATCCCCGCCCCGGGCGATCCCCGCCTTGGGCGATCCCCGCCCCGGGCGATCCCCGCCTCACNCGATCCCCGCCTCACACGATCCCCGCCCCGGGCGATCCCCGCCCCGGGCGATCCCCGCCTTGGGCGATCCCCGCCCCGGGCGATCCCCGCCTCACGCGATCCCCGCCTCACTCGATCCCCGCCCCGGCGATCCCCGCCTCACACGATCCCGGCCCCGGCGATCCCCGCCTCACACGATCCCCGCCCCGGGCGATCCCCGCCCCGGCGATCCCCGCCTCAGTGTGCCCGGGGTGCCCGCGCCCATTTCAGCCTCTCGTGGTACACACCAGCGTGGAGAAAACTGATTCCTTCGGAAACAAGAGCTGGGAGCAGCGGAAAATGGCAGGAAGCTAGTGAAGATTTTTTTCAGTCCTGTGTTGCCCACTTTCCTGCCCACTTGTTTGCGGTTTTAATGTTTGGACCGCTTGCACCTATGTTTTGTACTCCTTTAGGGAAAAACAATAAACATTCATTGTCTTTTTGGCGTCTGAGAAGCATTCTCGTATGACAGCATAATCCGGTTAATACAGTACAAATGCTGGAACGGCGGATGACAGAATCACGGGATGGTTTGGGTTGGAAGGGAACGTGAAGATCATCTGGTTCCAGCCCCTGCCATGGGCAGGCACCTCTTCCGCTAGGCCAGGCTGCTCAGAGCCCCATCCAGCCTGGGAATGGGGCATCCACAATTCATCTGCGCCAGACGGGAGGAACAGGCTCTTCCTAAGGTGCAGCTGGTTCCTAGGAACATGGTTCACAGGTCCATCCTTGTGCAGAGCCTTGATCCTTCAGGTTTCATGATGAGTACAAATGTACCCATTTCACTGTCACATAAATTCATGTTTTTCGAATAGCAGCTCAGGAGGAAGTCTTTTATTCCGATGAGTACTCAGCATTCCAGATTGGCAAAGCATCACCTGAAGTTCCAACATCTCTTACCATATCCTCCTCCTCTCTGACGAGGAATCCCACCCTCTCAACTACCATGATTTTCAGTGGGCAGCCTTATTAATTTCATTAATTTCACACTGAAAATATATCCGTGAATGTTTTTTACTAAAACTCTGATGATTTGCAAGTTGACACTGTGAGTAACAATTACTTCTAATAAGTACACAGCAGAACACAAATTCAGCTTTCCTTACAGTGTTTTCCTTCATCCAAAGCATTAACTACCTTTTCCAGCTTCTTACTTATCTTCTTTTATTTTGTATAAATTTTCAAAAAGGCAGGATTAACTACACTACAGCAAACAGAATTTTATTAAAAAGATTTCATGATTATGGTATGGATTTGTACTGACAAAATGATCCATCAGGGACAAAAGGCCAGGTTAGTGAGAGCTATGGTGGCCATGCTATGTGAGTGCACCTGAAAAAGAAAGCTTTCCTGTAGAGAAAGCTGTGTGTATGGGGCAACAAGTGCCACAGTACATTTCAACAGAGAGAAAACACAAAACACAAAACATTGAACGTATTAGGACATTTTAGGATACATATTACTCTTTCAAATAATTGTATGTGTGCTTACAGGGATATGTACATATGTGCACAGATACACTTAGGAACTGTTAGTGTAGTTTATGTCCTTTTAGCAGAACATTTTTCATTTTCACTGGGGATCAGGCAGGATGTGGTACTAGCTCTGATTAGATTACTGCCATTTACATTTGGATTCAGTGTAGTCAGTGGTTGTGTTCCTGCTGCTTATTCATCATTTCCTCAATGCTGACAGATACTATCAGCATTTGTAATTTAAGTACCGCTACCAGAATTTGATATTTTCATTGATTTATTTTCATATACCTATTTTTTTCACTTGCAATCAAATAATTAATTTCTGTGTTGTTGGATTTCTTTATTAGTATGCATTATGCCAAAAAATTGCTTTCAGGCTTTTGATTTAAATGGCAATAATAGTATTTAATTCAATTTAATTTAATGGCTGTTACATTACTCTCCATTTTGAAATACAAAAATAAACAAATCAGTTTTCATTAATCTTTAACCCATTATTCATGTACACATATACAGGGATTCACTGTATATTCTCTGACATTCAAAAGTAGTACTTTCAGCCATAGGAGTACAAGTAATGTTAGCCAAGCATACATCAAAATGTTAGATTTTTATTATTTTAGAGTCACAGAATCATAACACAGTTAGAAGAGACCTTAAAGATCATCTAGTTCTAATCCCCCTTCAATAAGCAGAAACACCTTTCACTAGGCCAGGTTGCTCAGAGCCCCATCCAACCTGGCCTGGAGCACCTTCAGGGATAAGGCACCCACAAATACATGCTCTAACATTAAGTAATATAAATAGAATGTAATTTGCAGTGTGGGAACTGTGAAAGTTGGCAAGGCATTTGAAGAGATTCTTTTGAAAGCAAGTAATCTGGAGAGAACCTAAAATCTGTCGAATTGTATCAGAGGCTTTTTATCCCATTAAAATACCTTTAATTAACTCTGCTGTCAACTACGAAAAAGAGAAAAAATAAAGGCTATTAACATTTCTCTGGTCTTTCAAAAAAACAAAGCAAAAAAAAACCAACAAAAAACCCACCTTTATTATATACATAGTATGTTTGTATTTAACCATTACAGAGATCTATTTTAGGAAGTGCAAAAACACAGGGGACGAACACAAGAGATCATATTAAATAATTAAGACCATAAAATATTGGGAAACAAAACATTCTTACTTGCAATCTTCATGTTGCAGCACTATACAGAAAACCAACCTCTATACCCAGGAGTGTTTCAGATTAATAAATGTTATTTTTTTGATACATTAGCTTTAATTAATCAAAAAATAATATATATTAAGAGCAAAATTAGTGTAAAATATTACCTGAGACCCATTTCTGTAAGCAAAGTAGAGGCAAAGTGCCTGATTGTTTAACACACTCACCTAAAAACTGTAAAAATTAAAATGGGTATTTATTAGCATCACAGAAGAACTCCTCCAACAAAAGATGACTTTATGGGTAGTGTAGAGATTGCACATGGAACCACTTCCACAGAACATTTTTCTTTAGAGAAAAAACTACAAGAGGACAGAGACTGAAAAGAAAATGAAAGGCACATACGACATGGAATAAAAACAGCCCACAATTACTTTTGTTAACTATTTGCCCAAAGGCATTGTACACTTTTACAAGTCCCTTGGAATTGTATATGGACTTTCTACAAATGCAGTTTTTCCAATATCCTCTAGCAGTTTAAATTTAACTTTTATGCAAAAGAACATTTCATATTATGTATGAAGGTGCACTTTAAGTTTAAAAAGAATCCTAATTTAAGTTACTACTCAAATTATTTAGAAATATGTAATGATAACTTAAATGTACCAATAGAGATAGATACTTGTGCTGGGAATAAAATAATCATAGTATGGAATTAAAGCTTTGTTACCCAAAGATGAAGATTTCTTTTTGAATGTGATTAGGAATTATTGAATTTATTTTACAGATAGAAAAATGTGAGGAAAATGTGTATTGACCCCCAGTAAGCCACAAGAAGTGACCAAGAGCTGGAAAAGAACACAAGCCCACCAATTCTGTGGGCATCCTATACCATGGGCTGTGGTTTTCCCTTAATCTGAGAGAAATTCAGTACATAGTGATCAGACATTCATGATCCCTGATTTGCAGCATAGGAAGGGCACTAGGAACAAATTAGAATTGGATACTTAAATGCCCAGACTAGGGACCTGCAATTCATTCTGGAGTTAGCTGCTCCCTATGTACAGAGCCTGCAGAGCTGCTCTCCTATGTTAGTCTCCCAAGTCAGGTAGCAAAAGCCGTAAGGAAGAACATCTTCAAAATAATGTACATAATTTAATTTCATTCTTGTATTGCTTCTGTATTCAGGCTAAATATTAATTTAATATGAATAATGTTTTGATGTGTAAATAAACTGGTGTTAGAGACATTGCTTCTCTCTTCAACAAGGCTATGACAGGCTGGTGTGGATTCCGTTAATAATCTCTGAAGTTCAAACACCATTCAGAAAAGGTATCAGCCTCTTTTTGCAGCAGCTTTGAACTTTCTTTATTCAAAAGGGCAACTAGAACTATAATTAGGTACAGCTAGCTGTCATTATATAGCTCATTTATTATTTATATCTCCCTCCCACAGTGCCTGTGAACCTCACATCTTGTGTTGACAGAGATGGGAGTCTGCATGTTGCTTTCACAAGCTCCAAATAGCACAGCAGTCCCTGTGGCATGGCCCTGGATTTGTAATCTGGGCTTCAGGGTGCTGACCTAATGCAGCCAGTGATGTTACAACCTGAAGCATCCCACGCTCGCAATTTACTGAGGTAATCTCCCCCCACCTTTCAGGCAAGCAATCAGAGATGACCCCTCCTGTAGACAGCTACTCCCTGCATGTACACTGATTCTTGGCAGTCCCTCACTGAGATCTCTCCCCACCTCATGCTGGGTAAATTATTGTTTTGGTGTTTTGTGAGTTATTGCATTACCAAGTTCTGAAAGGTATCTGGGAGACGGGAGAAGAGTTAACTGTAATTTTCAGTGGAGACAAATATGGAAAGGCCATAATTGGATTAAGTTTTAGGCAGTTTTCTTTTAAGCTCCTGATGGTCAGTAACACACTGTCTTTTTACAAAAATCCTGCATAACCAGAATGGTGACAGCTTTAGTAACAAGTTGCATTGCTTTGTCATGGTGCTCAAGAACAAGT